AAACCTGAAAAAGATGGTGAAAGCAACGGTGCCTCAGAAGAGAAACCTGAAAAAGATGGTGAAAGCAACGGTGCCTCCGAAGAAAAACCTGAAAAAGATGGTGAAAGCAACGGTGCCTCCGAAGAAAAACCTGAAAAAGATGGTGAAAGCAACGGTGCCTCAGAAGAGAAACCTGAAAAAGATGGCGAAAGCAACGGTGCTTCAGATGAAAAACCTGAAAAAGAGGTTGACAGCAACGGAGCCTCAAATGAAAACCCAGAAAAAGAAGTAGAGAACAACAGTGGCTCCAATGAAAATCCAGAAAAAGAAGTCGACAATAACAGTGGCTCCAATGAAAATCCAGAAAAAGAAGTCGACAATAACAGTGGTTCAAATGAAAGCCCAGAAAAAGATGGTGATAGCAAGGAAGCATCCAAGGAAAAGCCTGAAAAAGATGGGAACAGCGTTGAAAGCGCGGAATCGGGTGAGAAGGACGGGAACAAGTGTGTGGTGCCAGATGATAGTGATGGGAATGATGAATCTCATAAAGAACATGGAAAGCACCCAAAAGACTCAGCCGAATGGAATAAAAAACCGGGTAAGCATGGCAAAGAGTCAGGGGAATCACATAAAAAACCAGGCAAGCACGGAAAAGAGTCAGGGGAATCAAATCAAAAACCAGGCAAGCACGGCAAAGAGTCAGGGGAATCAAATCAAAAACCTGGTAAGCATGGCAAAGAGTCAGGGGAGGCGGATAAGAAGCCTGAGAAGCACGGGAAAGAGTCAGGAGAATCACATCAAAAACCAGGCAAGCACGGCAAAGAGTCAGGGGAATCACATCAAAAACCAGGCAAGCACGGAAAAGAGTCAGGAGAATCACATCAAAAACCAGGCAAGCACGGGAAAGAGTCAGGAGAATCATTTAAAAAACCAGGCAAGCACGGCGAACATGGTACAGATTCAGCTGAATCTCAAGAAAAGAAGCTGGCGATGGAGTGATGTGGTGCGCTGGATAACAAGGACAGAAGGAAGCAAATGAAAACAAATGAGATGTTTGGAAGTCTTTTTTTTAAATGATTGGTTTGAATAAAAATTTTCCCATGTATGTGTCAGTTTTTTTGCATTGAAAAGCTTTTCGTTGTCTCGTTTACATCAGTTGGTGAATAAATTTTGTTGGGAAAAACATTTTCGTATGCTCCTAAATGTACCACATAGGTTCACTATGAAAGGAAGAAAACGTATGCGTTTTGGGTTCGTTCTCTGGGACACACTTGCGATGTCAGTATTTTATTGGATTATCTGATCTATGGTGTGAGACTGTGGCTCAAGATTGCATAATTTCTTTTATCTTTGTTGCTGTATCTTGGGTGATTTGTTCTTGATAGAAATTGAAATTTCTTCATTTTTGTAAGTAGGATAGGTGGCGAAAACACAATGTCGTCAAATTGTGGTTTAATACGACTGTTCTCGTTAGCTTGGTGATAGTCTTCATCTGCGTCATAATGAAATATGGCTAAAAACTTATCAGCACTGACACTAACTCTTTCCGATTCACTTCGCCTTTCTGTTTTTTTTTCATAAAGGCTGGCTGCTATCTACGATAGTGAAATATTTGTGTTCGACTTCAGTTTCTACTCATCAGTTCAATCTCTATTTACCTGTTAATTTTCAACATGCAGAACGAGAAAATTCGTCCGTGGTTTAGTTGAAAAAATGGTTAATGTGTAGGATATAGCAATAGAAATTGTTGATAGCTTTGTCAATATGATCGATATAGTTTGCTTTTTTTTTAAAGATATGATATTTAACATACTCGTTCTCTTTCTTCTGATTGATTGATTTTGCCTCACTTTATCTAATTTGGTAAGTTAATATATAGAAATAATTTGGTTAATAATGCTACTTAGACCACTAAATTCGTCAATCATCTAATACTATTCGTCAGCAGAATCTTTTTTTTGCTTTGATGATTGATGATGGTATATTCATCAACGACGTGTTTGGTCTGTGAACGGGAAACTATTTTTTTAAGAAGACATGAGGCAATGACAATAGAACTGATGTCAAAGTTAACAAAAATATAATAAATACATCATCAACTGTATTTATACATTTTTCTCGCAGTATCCGAAAGTGTGAGACAGAAACGTTCAAGAACATTATAAATATAAGGTATGAAAATAATATAATTACAATCTTTGTCACAGCACCATTGTGCAGAGGTTTCTATGATAGAACAATATTTTTAGTTGATTGAAACACTCTGCTCAAGGATTAAAAGACTGGATAATTCTAATTACTTTCAATGAAGCGTTTTTGTTCAGCAATATAAAAGAAAAATCAATCTCTATCTTTTAAAGTAATGTCAGCATGATTGATGAACGACGATCGATGAAAAACATTGCATTCGGATACCTAGAATGATATTTAATGAACGTGTTATCGTATAACTCGTTCCGAATAGAGATAGAATAATCAAACTTATGACAAGACAATTTATGAAGTGTTCGTAACAAATGCATATAAGTCTTTTTATGAAAATTAAAGAATAAGAGAGATCAATCAAGAAATTTTCGTTTCACACGACTATTGTTCCGATGAAGGTAAACTAAAAACATTATTAGTATCATGAAACACAATATTTTATGCTCACAATATAGTTTGATAAGATAAGTAGAAATTATGAGTAATAAGTGAAACTAATGTAGAGCTTAATACGTGCATGACATTCAATCAGAAATATTTCCAACTAGAATTAAGATAGATCAATACATTAGCAACATGTAAGATACCATAAAAAAAGTTCCAACTATACTGTAAGAAAGAAGTTTCATATTTAGCATTGATTAATTCACATAGTTTTGGAGTGCGAAATCATAACAGAAAATATTTCGGATAGTGTAGCAGCTTGTCAGAAAGTCTATTGTAAAATAGAACCAATTGAATAGACGAGTAAATCTTTTCAATCAAAAATAAAAACTAAATCCTAGTCGCAAATAATTTGAAGTTTAGTATCAAATAGGATTAGTGTATCTATTTGGTTGTTTTATTGAATCTTTTTTCGTACTTTAATCAGTAGAAAAGAAAAAACATCTACAAGTTATGATTATTCAAGAGAAGATGTTGTAAATCATTTGCATAACCGACAAAAATATAGAAAAGAAAAGTTCCATCCAAGATATGCAGTGGTGGAGAAATGTTAATGTAATTCATTGATAAAGTCAATGCTGCGTAGGTCTATGTGGTTAATAGAACGCTTCTTATTTGCTTATATCGTTCGACTTCCACCTGAAGAAATCGGCGCTGGAGTTGATGATCCTGGTGGACATGGATTTGAGAAAAGATTCGCAGCTGGTGAACCAGGAATAATATTGAATAGACGCGTTGTTGTAAACGTACTTTGCGATGGTGATGAAAAATCCATTCTAGGACACAAAAAAGAGACAAATATGTGAACCTTTTTTCTTATCTATTGTTGAATAGAAATCCTTACCTTACTACGGTATTGTTCTTATCAAGAAAAGCTGTAACACTTGTTGTTCCACCAAATAAAATATCCCATGCTTGTAATGGTTCTTGATTAGCATAAAAAAGATTATCGGTAACAAGGCCAGCAAAAGTAGCACTAGATGCAGCTAGAATATTTGGTGGAAATAAAGGATAAGCTGGTGTGACATTATAAAATGTACATGATCCTGCCGTAGCGGCTGATGGTGATAATGTATAACTATAAAAATGTAAAAAAAGAAACTACTTAATTCTACTTTTGATTTAGTATAACAATGACTTACATATAGTTTGGAATCGTACCATCACTATTTGCATTAGCATAATCAAAAAATGAACTGGCAATAACACCTCCATATGTCACATCCATTCGAAGACGTCTCAGAGAGAGACTAGCATATATCATTCCACTTCCAATATGTGAAATACCTGTTCCATCCCATTTATGCTGTACATATGAAGCTTGATATTCAGCAACGATTGAATCAGGTGGTTGTGGCGCACGAAAATCACTAGCAAAAAGGCGTTGTGAGTATCCAACTGACGGATTGAACACAGTCACAAATGATAAGAAACAAAATATGAACATAGTGAAAGCTGGTATATTCAGATTTATTAAATTATGAAAATAAAAACAAAAATAAAAGAATTTATATTTGAAAAAAAAAACTCAGCATGTCATCGTGCTATATACATATTTACTTACTGTATGTTTGACTATGAATATAGAATTTTGCCGTTTATTAAAGCATATGAAACGATTATGTAGATGTATACGTCAAAATGAGTCAGTTAAGACTTAAGTATGATTTAGATTAAATCTTGCTAGCAAACTATATCCTTCAGTAAATTAAAAAAAAAACTTCAGATCTAATTCTTAAAAACACAAATTTTTTCTCTATGAGAATTCTAACAGTTAAAGTTTAATGTGTTGCCTTATGTCAATAAACAAATGTCGCTCTCTTTGGTGATTACTATTTTGAAAAACAATTTTCAACATACCCACCTAAGTCAAGGGCAAAAGAGAAGGAAAAAAATAGTTTGTTCTAATGATAACATAATCTTATTTATGTACACATATACACATGCAATAACATAGCAAAGAAAAGAAAAATGACGTCATCTTTATCTTGAATATATTCGTCTTTTTTTTTGGTAGATTGAGTGAGTAATATTTAACATAAAACAAGACAACTGTTGTAACTGAGAAATGTCGATAATTTGTACGTTTTGAAAATATTGTATGTCTAAATAGATGATTCGTTACATATTTAATTTCGAAAGAAATAAAAATTAGTTTTCTACATTTATTAAATTATTTATTCTGATGATTTTAGCCATGCAGAGTTTTTTAATTGGTTAATAAAAAAAACTCATATATATATATAATACCTATTGAAATTTACAGATAAAATTGTTAATGATAAATTACAGTGAAAAGAACTTGAAGTTTTTTTCTTGTTTCAAATTATTCTCTTCCCATTGCCCGTTCAATTATTTCAACACATTTCATTAATTTTTCATCATTGTATCGTCGACAGACAACTTGTAATGCAATAGGAGCATTAACATAGGATTGGGCTGACGTATACAATTTAAAATTTTCCTCATCAAGTACATTTCGAGGTTTATAATCAGTTTCAACTTGATCTTTAACGAGATCGACAGTCATAACGGGAAAAACAGCAGCTGGATAGTCAAGAAGATTCCATGTAGAGGTATAGCCCCACCATTTGGCTGTACCATGTTGGGGAGCTGCCGATGGACCGACCGGTGTTAGAAGACAATCGATAGAACAATTTAGAGAAGTTTCTCGTTCGTTCCATATGTGTGCATAATGCTTTCGATAATTTTCTCTTTGTGAGATCAGTTCATTCATTTCTGTCCAGTTTCTTTTTTTCACTTGTGACTGATTAAGAATCCATTCTGTTAATGGTAGCGGTTGTTCATTTACTTCTGTCATTAGATTTCGTTCTTCTTCCGCTCCATTGCAATAATATAACGCACTAATTAAATCCCAACCTTTTTGATGATCAATTGGTTCCCAATCAATAATTCGAATGCCAGCTTTTTTCAAATGCTCCACAGTTTGATGAAGAGCTCGAGTAATCGGTGGATGAGGGTGTACAACGTTATCGTCCCACATGACAGCCACCGTGAAATTTTTCGAGTCCAATGTAATCGATCTCCAAGGGATAGGAACAAGCGATGGATCTCGTAACCATGGTTCTGTGTCAAGTATCGTTTTCATGAATAAATTAATGTCTTCTCTGGATCGAGCAAGTGGACCAATTGTACTAATAATACTTTCTTTTCCCATTTGTGCTCCCATTAAACCTTGCCTTGGTATTCGAAAAGTAGTTGGTTTTAATCCATAAACTCCATTATTAGCAGCTGGAGAACGTACACTTCCACCTATATCAGTTCCAATTCCCATCGGACTACCTTTCAGGCCAAGTAAAGCGCCTTCACCACCTGTACTTCCACCACTAGTTAAGTTTCGATTAAATGGATTGACAGTAGTACCATAAATTGGACTGCTACATTCCAGATGCATCAAACTTTGTGGTTGTGTAGTACGAACATAGAAGATGGCACCTGCTTCGTGAAGAATCTTCAAAATGAGAGCATCATCTTCAGCTATTCTATTATTCCATTTTATCCAACCTGCATTGTTCCGTCGACCACGCATAGTGATAGAATCTTTGAGAGAGATCGGTAAACCATGAAGTGCACCTACGGGTCCTCCTTGTCTTTTAAATTCTTCATCCAAATATTTAGCTCGTTTGATCGCTTCTTCACCAAGAAATTCTGTAGCACAATTCGTCAATTGATGAGTAATACCAGCTCGTTTTAGATAAGCTCTCATGACTTGTTCAGCTGTTAATTGACCTAGCGCCAATAGATTAACAAGTTGCGTAGCTGTGTAATTTTCAGTAATAACAATTTCATCATTTGATAATAGACCACATTGACGTGGAATATCACTCACATCAAGAACAGATGAATCAGGCATTGCATCTCCAAGTAAACTGTCCTTTGGAATAGATGCATCTCGAATTTCAAGCATTTGTTGAATCGACGAAGCTGTCATCAATACTAGTGATAAAACATTTAGTTAAAGAAAGAGAATAAATAAAAACTGATAGACAACGTATGATAAAATTGATAAGAAAACTACACATGCAAGGTTTCTAGCACTTTATATGGTCGTCTTTATGTTACAAACGGTGTGCTATTAACAACACACGTTTACATAGAAGAAAAAAAAATGTTACATAAAAAGAAAGAACGAAATATAATGAGAACAATACTTTTTTGCATTCAGCTTTATTAATATCTTATTACTATATTAATAAAAATAATCGAAAGGGAATTTTAAAAATGTTTTTGCTTGATAATTTTGAGATGAAATTCAATATGCAAAAATGATCTTCTACGAAAGATAGTTGTGTCTTAAACAGAAAAATTGATTATTTTTATATAACTTACCATTAATATTTATTTTTCCTCGTCTTGTTATATTTACAGACAAATAAAGCATCAAATGCACCAAGGGCAAAAATCGAGTAGAATTTTGGTTTCGTTCAAACGATACATGATTCGATTAAGCTGCATGGACTGATTCAGAATATGTACTTTAAATATTTTTATCAATTAGCTTGAATTGAAAATCCTCAGAATACAAGTTACAAGGAAAAGTACGGAAGTTTGATTAATTACGAAAAAACTCTAGATTTGACCCGTATCTAATTGCTTTCAGCAGTTGTAGAATGCATATCAAGCAGAGTTCAGAATTTTGTACATTTATAATTTTTTTTTCCTTTGCTAGCTGTTACTGAAATAATTAGCAAAGGGTTATATGGAATTATGTGACATCTGAAGAATTTTGTTTAAATATTTAATGTCACCGACCTTGATGTTTCAAAAACACAGAAAGAACAGATCTGTTTACTCTGATATTTCAGAGTCCGTTTTAAATTAAAAATTATTAGAAGTTTATCAGAATTCTGTTTTTGACTTTTTAAATTCTAAATAAAATTGAGTTTTATTGAAGACAAGCCATACTATAGAGGAATATTGGACATGTTATTGTCAATATAGAATTTTGTTGAAATTGACGTTAGTTCTGAAATTCTATTAAGATTTGATGATTCACAAAAGAAGTTTGTCTCGAAAGTAACGATAGTTTCTCTATAGAGGTTTTATGGGTAATTTTTTACAATCCAATTGTTATCATAAGGATTATTAGAATTTTAAAACACTAGCAGAATTCAAAAGTAAAAGAATATGCAAAATGAACAACTGTCATGAATGGTGGTGTGTTTATCTTTTGAAGATGGTGATTTATCTTAATTTTGTACATTTGATAGAGAGAGAGGATACATTATGTGTAAAATAGTGAAGACTAAATGTGTGCTTATTTGTTTGAGAGATGCTACTATTTGTCGTTTTGTAGATTTTCTATGTTTCCTTTAAACGTTAGGCTTATTCACATCAACGTTTTGCATTCTGTAGAATTGCGAATTGTTATTAACAGAATATTGTTTAGCATGCAAAGATATATGCATGGCTTGATTTATATAATTCGGCTGAGAAATCAGAGTTCTGATTAAATTTTGCTAAAAAACTAAATTTTAAGCAGACTGTTGTGCTTCGAAAAGCATTATATTTAATAAAGCTTATCATCTGATGTTGAGATTTGAATTTCGACTAAACTCTGCTGTATTGTTTCAATTCTTGGTAGATTTCTGTTTCAACAGAATTGTTTTTTGTCTAGCAATGGGTGTGGATCAAGAAAATTATGTTGTAATCTTCATTATGTTTGATTTCTTGTCTAATATAGGCACGTCTACAAAATTCTGAATTTTTCTTAGTAACCATTCTGCAGGCACTCTGTCGCATATAATCAGTTATAGACAATTTCGATCCTGAATCTGAATAAATCGGTTTCATTAAAATAAAACGATGGCATATGATTCAAGTTTAGGGTTTCTTCGTCATTAGTCAAGTTTTCGCATTTTTCGTAATAACTTGCATTTTGAAGATTTTTCCCCAATACTAATTGACAAAAACATATAAAGTTCATAGTCTGAATCAGCCAATGATGCTCTTTCAAATCATGTGTCATTTAATGAAATCAAAATTCTACTCGCCGTTTGCCTTCAGTGTCCATTATAATAATAACAAAGATTGTATATTTATTTCTCTATCAATCTTTTAAGTTCATCACCGAGCATTTGTAAGTGTTCAAGTTTCGGAAATAACTACAAAGATCTATTCCAAAATATTATTAATCTCAAATTTAGAATATAATATCACATATTCTCTGCATATTGAGTTCAGGAAACGCATTTCAACCCGATTATGATCTTTTCGTGCCATATCTCGAATCAATATTTAGATACTATATGAAATAAAATAATGAAGAGATTTTTGTGTACCGTCATATTTGCATTATAAATTTTGAACGAGAGACGTTTTCGAATAGATTACATATCAATAGTCTATAATTATACTTGCGAGGTAGAATATTGAATTTCTAGTAACATTGTTTTTTCTTGCATCTTATGCAAATACCTAACGTACTATTACAATCAGAATAGTACGCAAACAATAACTTCTTTATCAATGTTGTTCGTATTTTTAGAAGGAATATGTTTATGAGTTTAGAGACGGTAAATATCAATTCAATCACTAACACAGAAGCGATTAAATTTCTTTTGATATTTACAACGTCTTAGTGATTGCAGCAGTGAGCTGATTATCGTCGATGCGAAAAATTGTGATTGATAGTGCAGTTTTGAGAGATGAGATGCTCGGTTAACAATAGTTTTTATCGAATGATTATTATTTCAATTTTTTTACTCTTGAATTGTTGTAAAAATTTCCGGATAAAATTAATATTTACTCATTGAATCATAATCCATTATATTATATGTCATTCGAGTATTGACGTATGAATTTAAATAGTTTTGATGTTCTCGAAAAAGAAACTTGATACGAGCAGCAGATTTTATAATCTTCTCAATTTGATTTTTCGATGTAGAATTTTTTTTATTGTAGAAGCGTATTTGAGGAGATGAACTAACGATATTAATAAATAAATAATGCCGAATTTCATAATCGTAGCAAGAATTGAAGTATTATTTTCCGAGCAAAATGATCGCTGAAATTATGTAAGAAAAACTAATTATTGGAAGAAGTTGTTTCATTTCCAAATTATATTTGCAACTGGTATTGAGGATCTTATTTAACCAAAATACTGATGAACACATGGACAAAATGTTCTTTATAACTTAATTGTTTCTCCGTATAACTTAATATTCACTAACAGTTAGAAAAGATTTAAGAGAATGATTTAAGATTTGTCGTATTATAATTGAAATTAATTTAATCTATTTGATATTGGACATGTATTGAAATGTTCATTATTTTATAAGTGATTTGTGATTCGACTCAATTAATCATTTCTTATGTATTTTATCAAGGTATGTACTCAAAAAAAATGTTATATTTTTTCTTGAAATTGAAATCTAATCAATAGAAAACTTATTAACCGCATATAAAAATCCATCATAGCCTTTTTCTCCAACAGTTCCCAATGTTGTTGCTTCAACTGTTGGATCTTTTTGAATATATTCTAGCAATTTACGAACACCTTCTATACTTGGATCATTTTGCTCTAGATCTGCCACTCGTCCATTACGTACTACGTTATCTACAATAATAACACCTCCTTTTCTCACTAATCGTTTGGCTTGAATAAAATATTCAACATTCGATTGCTTATCAGCATCAATAAAAGCAAGATCAAAACTAGCATGTGGATTGATATCAGGAAGTGTTGCAGTTGCAGGACCAACTATAATTTTTACTTTGCTCGTCAATCCTGCATTATTAATATTTATTTGAGCAATCTAAAATCAAATTGACATGTAATGATATTATAAAAAAATTAATTTGTAAGATGATTGTACTTTAGCAAAATCTTCCGAAATCTCACATGTTACAAGTTCACCATTGTCAGGAAGTGCATTAGCCAACCATATTGTAGAATATCTATGGGACAGAACATACAAGATGAATGATCAAAAGTTTTAATAGAAAAATCAGCATAGGTATTATACCCTGCAAGAGTTCCTATTTCGAGTATACGACGAGCTTGAATACTTTTAGCCACAAGATTCAAAAATTTACCTTGAGCTTCACTCACTGCATAAGAAGGAAGTCGATTTTGTTCACTCAATTTTAATGCAGCAGTAAGAGCATCGTCAGGAGAAATCAGAAAACGGTTGTGATAAGTATCGGAGCGAATCCAATCTGTCAGATTAGTTGGAGTAAAAGCCATTCTTCACTTGATAAATGCTATAATAAAAATAGTGTTCGTATCTTGTGAAACAAAACCATCTGTTCTATTGTGTATTTGATGTTCTCATGATTTAATTTGTCAAACAATACATAGCATTGAAGTTATTTCATCAGGGATATCGCTGCATTCTTTCAAGAACTGAGACATAAAATATCATTAAACACAAAGTCATTTTGAGATCAACAATTAAAAATATTTTCATATAAATTCTACTTTTGACCCTCTATTTATTAGCCACATTTAGCGAAATTGACATATACACGTGCCAAGTTTTAGTCTGAATTATAAATTTTATTAATAAAAAGATTTTTGATCAGATTCTAAAATAAAAACATTGTTAAAAAGTAAATTCTCATTAATTCATTTATTACGTAGTTTATATGAGAAACAAAAATGTCGCTCTGTATTGCGCATTTATTTTATGTCATTGAATAAAAACGATTGCAACACGAACAGAATGAATGTTACGATAAGAACAGAGAGAAAAAAAAATGCGTAGTTTAACGTGATATAAAACGTGTTCTTTTCATACATCGTTACTTTCATTTTCTACTTACCGTTGCTCCGTATACCAATGTCTTCTCCATTTCATCATGCTGGCTCTGGTGGTTTTGGTATAACGATACATCACGAGGGTCAAAACGATCAAAATTCGATTTATCCGTCTCCATCTGGTGGAACGGGTGATCCGAGAATACAGGCAGCTCAAAAAGGGAGAAGCAATAGTGAAACCAACGAATCAGCTACATATGGAACAATAAGTGAATATGATATTAAAAATAATAGACCATAAAAACATACTCTTATTTTTTAATTGTAATTATATATATTTTTTTTTATTCAAGCGGGTAAAAAATAATTCAATATATGTTTCGGATAATTTATATACTTGATATATCTATCTGAAATAGTTATAACCTATTTTCGTCGTTGTGATACGATTCAATGGTATAATGTTGTCTGTATAAGATCTACAGTATCATTGTTTTTCGTTCATGAGGACGTCGATTGTTCTAATTGTTCTTGTGAGTACTATTGCAGTCGATCTTTAAGTGAGCGCTCATGAAGCGACCAACAAGTTGAGGAACTCGTCAAAATTTTTCGATTTTCTTAATGTGCATTCAAAAAAATATCATATAAAACCACCAAATTCAAATTTTTCATTCTTTTGATTGTTCTATCGAAAATTTAGCGTATATCGACATTTTTTTGTGCTGCGAGTTTATTACCAAGAAAATAGGCAACATCTTCTCAAATATGTGAACTGAGATTATATTTTAACAATTCAGAGACTTTTTCGTGTCATATATCAAACAATAGAACATCAAGAACTGAGAAAATCAGCTGTTTAAAATATTATATATTATCTATTTACTCGATCAGCATGAATAAAAAAGATACGAGAAATGGCTTATACTGACAGTAGCCAGGTAAGCAGCCTTGAAGAAAATTGTTTCAAATGCTTTTTAATGTCCTTCATTTATGAAAGTCTTTATCACCGAGAAATTAGTGCCTCATCATGGATACAATAGCAGCGACATTTGTCTCAAAAAACGAAAAACAAATTTTTGTGAAACTGAATAATGATCATCCATATACATAGGATTTGAAACATTGATCGCAGGTATATGATAGAAGTCTATTATTAATTGTAATGTAGCGTTATATGGAACACTTTTCTGTTGCAGCATTTCGGAGGTTGTGACAAGTATATGATCTTGAGGAATCAACCATATATAACTAAATTACGATTAATAATAGACTTATATCACCTACCTGTGATCAGCATCTTAAGTTCTATCCATCTGAATGATCATTATATGGTTTCACAAAAAAAAAACATTTTTCATTTTTTGATAACTGTCTTTGCCTTTACATCCGAAATGAAGTTTTGATTTTCTCCGAAACAAAAGTTTTTATTAATGAAGAACATTAAAAAGTATTTGAGGTCATTTTCTTCGAGGTCGCTTACCTGAATACTGACAGTGTAAGCCAATTTTCACGTTGATGGGAAACTTTTATATAGAGAATCAAAAGTGATGCAACATATGAAAAATTCAGCTTAACATCTTTTGATTTCAAATAGTGATGTCAGATACACTGCCAAAAATTGAACCTTCTCGGTTGGTAAATTAATACTTGCTTCACTTATGTTGACCTATTAAATAGATAATATGCATTATTTTAAACAGCTGATTTTTCTATGCTCCATCTTTTGCTATATGGCATGAAACAAATTCTCTGAATTTTAAAAATATAATCTTAGTGGCCATATTTGCGAAGATATTGGCTATTTTCTTGTTAGTAAGCTCGTAGCAGAAAAAAAGTCGATATCGGCTAACTTTTTAATAGAACAATCACATGAGCTAAAAATTTGTGTTTGGTGGTTTTAGATTCCATTTATTTCATAATTTTCTTTCATAATCTTTTCATCTGATACATCAACTTTCATACTGAGCAACTTGTACAACGTTTATCGTTGTTACTCGTGAACTTTAAACTGAAGTCAGAGAAACGAATAGAAGCAGAGTACCTACATGAATCTCGTACCTAGCGTCTATTCTACATAGCACAAGGAAGCAAAGAAAAGAAGTGAATCAAAATATAACGCATTTCAATTTCTATTATTACCATTTGGTTTAATTGACTGTTAGTAAATTTTATTTACTATTTTTTAAATTTATTAACAAGCCTTATTTATCACTAACTGACTATTTAAGTAATTTATTGATTTTATAATTATTTAATTTACTGACCATTTTACTTATTTTACTCACCAAATATGTTGTTCCCATTAAAAACAGATGTTCATTTCTAAGTACATTTTGTTTTAGTTTATTTATAGTTTTGATTGTATTTGTTTGTTTATTAGACTACATTAATAATAATAATAATAATCAATAATAGCTTTTGATTTGTTCGTGATCATGTTAATCATCATAAAACTGAAGATGAATACATATTTACATTTATGTCTCGCAAAAATCAATTTTACATATGCCAGTATTATCTTTTCTTTCTTAATTCTCAGAAGCTTTTAGTTACACAAAACGAATTAAAATTCATGGAAGAAAGCAACGAAGGGACACGTATTTCATATTATGATTTAATTGAATGTTTTCTAGATCGCATTCATCGACTATTAGATGAATTTACTAGATTGTGGTTTTCCATCTTCCTCAATGTTCTATCTAATTGCTTCTTTTTTTTTTCTTTGTTGTTTATTTACACTAATATGCATCAAACAAAACAAAAACTAATAAACAAGACTATACTTATCAGAAACAAAATACTGTCGTTATATGAATACTGTCTGGTTTAGTCTGGTCAAGTACATTGTCTATACAAGTATTCCTCAAAGTTCTTTTTAATTTCTCTTATAAATAAGCAATAAAATATATTTATGATCCAAAAATAAGTCATCAAAAATAAATACGTATCTCGAATGATGAATTAAATGCGTGTTCTTCTTTTTGATTAAATTATTTAACAAAAAAAAACGAGAAACATCGAGATGATTGTAAACTCAAATGATTTTGAGCAATTGATCAATGACAAGAAGAATTAAAGTGCTTTTTTGTCTTAAATTAGTGGATGTTTATATTCTGTACATTTCGAAAAATAAGATACGTGATTATGTACAAAAAATATTTTTTGAAAAGTCAATTTTGCAAAGGGTTGATGAAAACGTTAGCTCACCAGCACCACTGTCACCTTTTGTTCCACTCTCAGGTGCATTATCTGGACTAGAACTTTGTTCTGATGAACCTTCATGATGTTAACCATCTGGACCTAAACCAGTTCCGCTTGTTTCACCTTTTGTTGTGCTTCCAGGAGCAGACGCCGAGCTACTTCCTTGACTTGATGACGTCGCTTATTTATTTATTTTGAAAAGAAAAGTTTGTGTTAGATGCTTATGCTTTGCTCTCTCGCGCCTTTTATACTATTTTCTCTCGACCAACTACGCATAGGATGATTGAATGTAAGTTTAAGAATAGAACAGAAAAAGATGAATGCAAACAGAACTATGCCAGACATGGACTGTTCTTTTTTCTATTTTATGATAGTTCTTTTTGCACGTACGAGTAGAGAAAGAAGAAAAAACTGAAGAATATCTATTGATTATCATTCTCTTTCATCTCAAAACCATTCGTATCAAGCAAAAAGTCATTTAGTATTATAGACAATGCCTTCTTATCAGACTAAATTACAACATTTCTATTTGAACTTCGATTGTTTTTATTCGAATTAAATATATTTTTATTGTGAATTTTTTTTTATCTAAATGATCTAAAAAGAAATGAATTAAAAAATATTCAACAAGAATTCGTGTTTGTTAAAATGGATTGATATTGGCAAAATTCTTATTGAGGAAAAAATGTCACTGATCGCCAATAAATTTGCAATAGAAGAAAAGCTGCAAATGCAAAAAAATATTTTCATCTCAATATCTGAAATAGTCATTCACACTTATAGCATACAGATCATGTATACCGTATATAACGGTTATCAATCAACGTACTTGTAAATTTTTGAATTATGATTTCTCGTTAGGTTGATGTTACTCAAAGCAAATGTTGATCAAGAAATTTATTAAATATCACAGCTTCATTTGTTCAATGTGTTATTAGTTTTATGCTGATATTAGATCAAACTCATGTGACCAGCTAAATATAAATTTGTAAAAATTCATTTTTAGACTAAGGTGAATTACAAAGACGTTTGTCGATCGCAAACTTTTGGATACGATGATTAAAAGTATCAGCTACATATAAATTTCCATGTCGATCGAAAGTCAAATAATGAGGAAACTGCAGTTGATGTGCTCCATTACCAAATCCGTTTCCACCAGCAATTACACTTGCGACCTGTGCACCTTTAAACCAGCGTGTCACACGATGATTGTTATGTTCAAGTACATAAACAGTTCCCATTTGGTCAACAGCAACTGCAATTGGTACATTCAAATTGTACATACTATTGCCTTCTCCTTTACCACCAGCTGCAACAACGCCTTGACTAGAAAAAGGGTCCCATTTCATTACACTATGATTGAATAGATCTGCTATATAAACTGACTGATCACGATCAACAAAAAAGTGACGAATTTCCGAAAACTGATTAAGACTTTTGTTCCGCGTGGTTCCACCAGCAGCTATAATATGTTGTGGCCATTTTCTCGCAAGACGTTAATCAGGCACAGACAACTATAAATTTCCGTATGAGTCCATTTTCAAGTCCCAACATGGAATGTTATTTAATAATGTTTCTGCATAATTAGAATTTTTAAGCCAACGCTGCATCCTCTGATTGCCGGTATCACAAATAATGATGTCTCCATTCTTATCAACAACAATGCTTGCTGTTTGATTGAAAGAATTTACAGAGTTACCAACTATACCAGTGCCAGCTACCATGTGACCACTGGATGCTCCTACCGTCCATTTGAGGATTCTGTTATTCTGAGAATCGACAATGTACATAACATGATTGTCATCCACAAATAATGACCATGGATGATTGAGTTGATTCAATGCAGAGCATTGTTCTCTTCCTCCAGCAACAATGACGCCGTAATAGTTCTATGTAGCAGCTGCACAAATTCTGTCTCCTGCTTGTTGCATTGTGGTTGTAGCTAAATAGACAACATGTAATATTTTATTATAAAACAGACGTGATTTTTATTTCATTTGTAATGGAAACTGTATTCTAACTCTGCGCTTGTTATCGACAATGCTTTTTACTTTTTTTCGTTGTCGTATTTATCATTGGTTGCAGTGGTTTTGTTGTTGTTGTTATTGTGGTACTTGGTTTCGTTAATATCATTGTCGGTGCCTGAGAGCATAAGTCTTGAGATGCCATCGGCAATCGATAACATACAGGAAAAATTGTGACACTGGGGGTGATGAACACAAATTTGATCAGTCTCATAACACAAATTATTAGGACCTGTACACGAAACAAGTTCAGAACATGTCATCGATTTACAACCACAAATACCACTATTAGGGGCATTGGCTAAATGGAAACAACCACAATCACTATTTGTCGAGCATGGGTCGTATTGAGCAACATTTTTACATCTTTGACATATTATCAGAGCTAAAGAAAAATACATTGATGTTCTTATTATGTGTAAATGTAAAGAACATGGAATGATCTTACTCAGCAAGGTAAAGTAGAGTTTTTGTTAAAATTTTAAATTGATTGAAGCAAAACCGTATAAAACTTACTTTAAAAAACATATTATGAAACAATAAAAGATTTTTTTTATCATTGCTATTATGCAAAATAATGATAAAATGAGTTACTTATTAGCAATGTGACGATCGTGTGTTATCTCTTATCTAACAACTTGCGCATTGTCTGCGTAGACTTTTTCAAAAACAAAGTAAAGTTGTGGTGTTTTTCGGCACGGTTAGACGTCAGAATGGGTTTGAACATGAGTGTGGGTTTGGTGAGATATGAGGGTATGTGTGTATGGGTTTGTTAATGTCTAAGTATGGCCTGTAGTTAAAGATAACAGTCATCCATATCCATATTTATCATTCACATCCACACCCCGTAAGTGGGGTCGGTCCGGATTTTCGACGATTGCTACTGGTACGAGTTGCATCTCTGTGGAGTGTGGACGCTGATTATTGAGCAGGACCACATCTACACCCCACACCCACCCACACCCTCAAATTTCAACCTGATTCAGTTTCGCTTTAATCTTGCATGTTTCTTTTTACTAGTTTCTTCTTCGACATATATTTGTCAATAGTTCTGATCTTAATTCTTTTCACATCGATATATTCTACAGCTCATATCGCGTTTAATTCTCTTCTGACATTTTTTTCTACCAACACTTATCTCCGTTTTTCTCTACTATCTCTCACACTATTATTCAACTACTTACAATGGAGGTGTTTGTATTGTCAGTTGAAAAGACTAGACATATTCGTGTCAAAAGAAAGCTCTCACTACCAAAACTAATCAATGTAAGTTGTTAGCGGCCATTAGTGTGTACAGATTGAGATATTCAAATTTTAAGGTATCTACAACCTATACACGATACCTACCAGACAAATTTGCAGCGGAATTTTTAGTGTTTTTTTCTTGCTCGTTGAATAGAGTTCATTGAGTTGCATTAGAGAATCTGTTTCATATTTTAAAAGTGATTTTAGAAACTCTTACGGAACGCAAAGTTGATGTTACCATTATTTCTAAATATAAGAAGAAGCAGTCAACATGGTGGCTTTCGTAAAATTATTTTTACATTATTATTTTGCATATAAAACATAAATTTTCTAACACAATTCGACGAGCTCTATCCAACGACCAAGAAAAAAATGCTAAAAGTTCTGCTGGAACTTTACCTTGTGTGCATCGTGCACAGATGGTTGATACCTTAAAATTTGAATATCTCAATCGGTGTACGCCAAGGGGCATTAATAATTAAAATTTGTTAGTTTGGTAGTGGGAGCTTCCTTTTGACCTGAATATATCTAGTCTTTTCAACTGACAATACAAATACGTCTATTGTTAGTGTATTAATTATGCACTATGATGATCTAGAATCGATTGTAAGATTCATTTAGATTTACAACAACAAAGCTTAGAATATGATTCATTGAGTGAAAGTCATTCTCGATTAATAGAAAAACCGATGAAAAAAGATGAAACAGTCTCACTATTATCTTGTGTACATTTACCACATTATGCATCTTATTCATACACTAGCTATTTCAAATTCATAGCCAAAATCGATTTCAATGTTCAATGGTTAATTACATATCTGCATCAGTACTAAACTGAACATTTTCTGCTTGACTCATCAAACAATTCTCACGTTAGTATTAAACTGAAAATCTGGAATGATTTGGTTATGCTCCTATTCATCTTTTGTTAAATAACTGAGTTCATTTTGAAAAAATTTTCAAACCGACAAAAAAAAGAAATAAACGTCTGGGATAGATTTTGATGTAATTTTAATGAAAATAAAACTAATTCAAAAGTGCTATTGGTTCCAATCTAGGCATAGGTGCCGATTGAGAAAACATTTGGAACTATTGATACTTGACAGAGAGTTAATCTGAATAAGATAGATCAGACTCGACCAGTTATCAGTACCAGTTCGAGGTCTGGATAGTGCATTTTATTGGATATAGTCAACTTTCACGAACATCTCTTCACATATTCTCGATTAGGTAGATGCCAAGCGCATAATACGTGGTCAACTTTATGTTATCATTGCTCATTTGATCATATTCATAGCTTTATGTCACATTTGTTTTAGTATTAGTACTTATCATGACAAAGAAATAGAGTAACAAAAAACAAGAAAACATGGGTCATTCACAAGTTATCAAATCTGTGAAAAATAAATAAAAACTGTTTTAATAGTCTATCTAATTTATGTGGTATTGTTTTTTGCTAAGTCATTGATACGGATTTAATGAATGGTTACTTAAAAAAGAAAAGCAAGACAAGTTTGAATTTGTAACTGTGAACTTTTCGTACGAAATCGAATATTTTTTATAATCTATTAAGAGAAATTCGTTCCAATTTCATTTTCTAAGACATTTCAAAACGATATTCCTATATAATTATTGCTATTTACCAACAGCATTTATGATTTTTCTTGATAGTTCAGGATCACGACCAATATTGTGTACATGCACGGCTCGTGTTGTTCGGAACGCGGTGGGATTCGCACGAGTGTACATCAATCTTAGAACAAAATCGCCAATCTCTAGCGAAACTTCATGGTTATCTTTCGTTTGTTACTCGTCAACAACGTTGGACTTTCTTCACTATCCCCGCAATTCTGTCAAACCTGCCTATTGAATTATCGCTCTCTTTTCTCCCATCCTAGTAATATTGAGACAACCCTATATACGGCTTTGTATTAGCATAATTGTCTCTCTTAATTAGCCTATCAAGACTAATGAAGCACTGACAATCGTCTATGGAAGATGAGGAACATAAGAAAAAGAATCAAAATTAGTTAAAATGAAAAAAAAGACAATATACAGAAATTCTAATCAAATACAAATTATTTCTATGAAACCCTGCTTGCTGTAGTTGGATCAACTTGATAAAGTGATTTAATTATTGATTGAAAATGTTTTCGAGCATTTGCTCGGCGTGTTTTCAGTGTTACTGTAAGAAGTCCATTGTTTTGTGAAAAAAGTTCAGGATGAAGATAAATATTGCTTAATGTTTGATAAGTTTTAAGTTTATACTTTTCTGACAATCGTTTTAAATCAGATAAAATAATTTCTTTTAATTTTTCATTCTTACACAAGTCAGCAAATGCTGTTTCAGTGGCTATTGATTGAAAATTCTTTCGAACATATTCTTCATCAGGTATCACAATGGCTACGACAGTTGTTTCAGTAGATATTCCATCAATAAAAATTTGTGCAACCCATCGAGAACGAATATAAATATCTTCAAGACGTTCTGGTGCAATATATTTTCCTTGACATAGTTTAAATATATGCTTTGTACGATCAATAATACGTAATGCACCATTGCTAGCCCATTCTCCTACATCACCTGTATGCAACCAGCCGTCTTTATCAAGAACTTCCATTGTCTTTGCCTCATCACCATAATAACCTATTAAGAAAAAAAACCACACTTAAAAATCTAGAATGCCAACTATTAGATTTAACTAACCTTTAAAAACACTTGGCCCACGGATACAAACTTCTCCTTGATTCATCTCACTTCGATATGTTGTGCCAGGTACATCAATCAACTTGATTTCGACGACTGGTACAGGCGAACCTATTGTGCCATATGACATATCAGTTGGATGAGTACTTGTACCAGCACCTGCCGATTCTGTTTGACCATATCCTTCCATAATTGGTATGTTGAGTGCAATACGAAAAAAATGCATGACATCTGGTGTGATTGGTGCTGCACCTGTTATCATTACTTTTACCTCATTACCAAATAGATTTTTGACTTTACGAAAAGCAAAATGTGATAGAAACGATGGTTGTTCACGTAATGCTTGTTGAACAAGAAACTTTTTTATTTTACTTTTACTCACTTCAGTCATAATTGCATCATAAACTTTGTTCAAAACACGTGGTACAACAGAAGCTTGAGATGGTTTTACAATCGACAAGTAATTTGGAAGTTTTTCAGGTGCAGGACAAAATACAAGTTGTGTACCACGTAATAAAGCTTGTAAAAGTATAAATCGTTCATATATATGAGCCATAGGTAAAAATGAACAATGTCGATCAGTTAAAGGGCTTTTAATATTCGCTTTATCTAAACGCATGAGATGACCTTTTGCAGTTGCTAACAGATTTTCATGTGATAACATAGCAATTTTTGGTTCCCCTACAAAAACAATGATTGACATTAACGATTATTCATTTTTTGTTTTTGAATTTTACCTGTTGTTCCACTTGTCAAAATAAATGTAGCAATACTATCTGGATCAACTATTGGTCGTTCACGTAAATTATTGTTCTTTATTGATTTGAATATTGTTGACAGAGGACGAATTTTGCTATTTTCGTCATAGTTCATGTCATCCATGACTAGTATCTCCTTAATTTGATTATTATTCAATAAATCATCCTGAAATGCTTGAATGCGTTCCATGCTATCAACTACAAGTACCTCAGCTTGAGTCCGTCGAAGGACATCTAAAATAGTTGCAGAATCGTAAGTAGTATAGAGACTAACAACAATAAATCCATATTTATAACATGCTTGTTCAACAAACAAATATTCAGCACGATTTGATGATAGAATAACCACTTTCGATTGCATCGGTGTTAGTTTCGTGTTTGCCCATAAATACGAACCAATGTATCGACATTGTTCCTTAACCTTGGAATAAGGAAGCCATTGTAATGAATCAATACCATTCGATGATTTTAAAACACCTAAACATGGTCCATCTTTTGAATTAATATACCCTTCATTCAAAGCATCACCAAGTGTTCGTACGTTGGGATGCATTGTTTTATATAAAGTCCAAATATCATCATTTTCGTGAAGTGAACATCGACGAGCACGTTCTATGGAATTAATTTCAACAGTTTGCTGTCTTAAATTTATTCCATCATCATACGATCGTCGAATACGTGTTTTATAAGAAAATGTCTTTGCTTGAATTGATAAAATTGATCGATGTAATAATATAATAGGCATAATTTTCGATTTGAAGAAGAAGGCTTGCAGCATGATTATGACTATTTGATGAAGAATATCTGCAAAAAGAATAGAAAATCTTATTTAGAAAAGATAATTCATTTTAAGAAAGGAAAATACGAATGAGGCACATATATTCAATTCAATAATCATAACAAACATAAGTTTATTCTATGAAGAATTATAATTACCGTCAACTGTGACTTCGTTTCACTGGTTTATTTTTTCGATGAGTTTTTTCTGTCTGGATGCACATCTTTATATATAGGTCAATCTTACATTAACGATGATGTAGGATAAAAATTGACACACTAAAAAAGTTACTATTCAATTAAGAGGTCATACCAATATAGACATGAGAACATACGTAATATGGAATGTAATGATCATTTATGATTACGAGCAGATATTTTTTTTAGAAATGAAATATGATCCAAAAAAAGTTAACCTGATATCTGCATTAAAAGTCTGGTAAGTATAGTAACAAGAAAAAGAAGGACATTATTGCTATATCTTTATATATTTCAGTTGATAATAGTATCATCTCATCGTTATCGCTTCTCAACAGAAGTCATAGTCCAAGGTAAACGCCGTTCGAAAAAGGTTATGCAGAATAATGTGGTAAAATAGACTAACAAAATATGACCGACATGTTAGAATATATCTTTGACAAGGGTACTAATCAACAATTTACAACTACACCTTATGAGAAAAAAAATAAACAAATAATGCATGCTCATACAAAGAATTTGATAATGTTTGAAAATAAATTTTCCGTACACTGAAAGAGCAGGGTCTACGAACGTGAATTCACTTGTATCTGTCTATTTGTAACACGGTTACCATATGGCAACTATGGCATAAATGAATACAGCTAGCAGATGTGACATGAATAACTGTATAGAATGACAATGGATACCTAGGCATTAGGATTGATGTTGGCGAAACAGTACGAAATCAGTGTACACGGTCAAGGAACGGTCTACACTCGCATTTTACCATATACGACCGTGTTTCTCCGTGTACGATATAGAGAAATACGATCATTTCCGAAGAGATATTAACTCAAATAGAGGTTGTATACCATTTTCAAGTACGAACTCCGTAAACGACTACATTTCTTTGTTTATGATACCGAGGAATAGAGTGATGCTTTTAGAAGTGACGATCATTGTAGTTAAACTATTGAATATTTCAGTTCATTGTTCAATTCTGTATGCATGAAAAACATAAAATTAGAGTAAAATAAAATATCATTGCTTGAATAATACGATAAAAATATTTTACACAATGAAAATAGCGCTAATGTAAGTAATTGTAAATAAATTTATGCATTGCTATTTCATCTTTATGAATCAATATATATTTAGCATAAGTTTCATTCCAAACATGAAGAAGACACAATAATATGAACGATGAAAAAAAGAAACATTTTTAATTTCAAGTTTTTTATTTAAAATATTGAAGCTCCGACTATAAAATCGCTAATGGGTAAATCGATGAGTATCGAACCACTTTTGGGGAAAAGTTTTTTCATCCAATTTTTTTGCATTAGTTAGATCGAAGGCTCACGGAGAATATTCTTGGTCGAAAAAAATTGAAATTTCCACTTGAAATATTGGGGATTCAAGTGGTTTTCTATGAACATTTAAGGGGGAGGTGATCACCAAGATTATTCAAATGTTTAAAGCGCATTTTTTTCTCTTCGGTAGGAGGCCATTAGATTAGCTTTCCAAAAGTGGCTGGATAGCCATGGATTTACCCTAAAATCAATATACTACAATTTGTGGTCGCATATCAGTGATAGAATTTCAGTAGTTTGACATATATCAATATATGATTAAAAGAGTTATTCTTTGACTGTACTTAGTTTTCATTTGAAATTGAAAACAGCGTATTAAAAATAGGATGAAAGAACAAAAGTGAATATAATTATAAAAATGTAACTATCGGAACACTTTAACGAATATCTGCAGAAAAACTAGTAGCATTGGGCATATAAACTAGTGGTGTAGCCACAAAAAATTCGTAGGAGGGCCTCAGCTTTCTGACCATGTCTAAAGAGGGGACGAAGACTCTCTGTTAACGCTTCCGCAGAGGGTTCAAGGCCCTTTTTAAGCAGGATTCAAACGTGTGTAAGTAGGCTCTAAGCCTTCTAGCACCTGTCTGATTATGCCACAGCAATAAAATCACCTCGATTAGACAAGTGTAGCATATTCAAAATTATTTTTTCTTTATAAACATAAAAGTCAAGTTTTATATTACGAATCGTTGATAAATGTCAAGTCATTTCGTGCATTTATTTCATATTTTTATATAAAGCATGTTTATACCTAGAAACGCCTATATAATATCTCTATCACTTCAGTCTAGGGTCAAGTGAATCGTTTTGCGATGAATGTTACTTGTAGTTTCAATATTTATCACTTTTTTTTTTAGATCTGTTTTGGATATATTCAGGCCCTTGCTTCAGACAACATAATACTCAATTATATTCGTAGAGCAACATATGAAATTGAAATAGCAACCAAATGATTCGAAGCGCATCCTAATTTTTAGCATCCAACAGAAATCAATCCCTAATGTTCAACTTAAGATAAATTAGTTTTCAAATAACACATCGTGATGAATTTCAACTAATAGTTCAAATTTATCAGTGTTCTTTGGCTTATATTTGCTACTGTTTCTTAAATAAAACTTTTTAATAGTAAGCATACTTGTAATACATGCTTGTATCTAATAAAAAAAAGAAATTTATTTGTAGAATTCATCCTTGAATAAATGATACTTTCTTGATGAATCTTTATCATTTTCAATCGATTATTTTTATCCGATCAATATAAATCAAGATAGGAAGCACTGCGAGCGGTTAGCATTGATGAAAAACTTGAAGTGATTACTAAATTCAGCCCATCGATTGACCGTGGATCAAAAGCCTATAAAACACATTGGCTTTTCTCATAAAACATATCAAACACTCGAATTTAATTTAGTGAGTTTCTAATTTGAAGATAGGCCGATGATTCATTATCCATGATAATTTACATGTTGATTTGTGGTAATTTCAGTTTTTACTGCTGCAGTCATGTTTTTGTCTCCTAATTGTTGATATGCTTTTATGATTCATATTTAAAGAGAAAATATCTATGTTATCTAGATTGGGTTTGCGTGAGTTCAGATGAAGAGAAGACTCACACGCCTATCCACAGTCACACCCATACCGTGTCAGAACTCTATCCTCTAGTAACAATCATTAGATGGCTCTCGAATATGTAGGAGGAGAGATGAGGTCACCCTATTGCATTCTCCTCATCCCTTACTTTTGATTGTCCTGGATAAATTTCATTTCACGACGCATAGAAAAAGAAGACGAGAAAAATACTCAATTTCTTTGCGTCATCATTAGCTTATTGAAATGCATTTCTTACGAAGTTTCTCTTTCCGATAAGATGTTGCTGAATAAACAAAAGTCACCAATAAAACAATGCATAACTGATCATATAATGGCAAAAGTAATGTGGAAAGTCGAATTACCTTAGGAGGAATGGTTTTTCCAAGAAAACTATTCGAGAGATCGTTCATAGTTCATTATCGTTTGTTGTTTTGGAACGAAGTGAGGGTGTTACATACGAGAATTTCTCGAAGAATCGTTTGAATTTAGTTTCGATCAATTTCTGTGACAAAAAGTTATTGTTTGGTCAATGAAATGTGTGATTGTCGTGAAGAATTCGTTCGATGAACAGTTCATTGCTAAATTTTCTCGTATTAGACATCAACTGTAAAGGAGAAACAGCTGATTTTTTTAAATTTTTTTATTGATTTTAATTAAAAAAGTCAATTTAATCAAAGAAATCAACAAAATCACTTATTCCGAATAGGTATGGTTTTCAACGTTTTGTACCTTCAATTTAAGTATTTTCTTATAACTTTGAGCCTTCAGATAGAATTTAAATGTTAAAAAAAGGATGACTCTTACATTTATAGAATGAAGTTCATCATAATAGTTGCAAAGAAGTGACGTTTTCAACTTTTCCAATTATTTTAATTTTGCTCAAATTTTTGATTACACTGATTGTTTTGACTGAATTGCCTTTTCTTTTTTTTAAAACTTGATAGAAAATTTTAAAAAGTCAAGTGTTTATCCTAGGTTTTTTAATAAAAAACAGTCAGTTTAATCAAAATACTGTGATTCTTACTCTTGGTTTCTTGATCAAAAGCCTATTGGTTCACTTTTTCTCTATGATAAAAAAATTTCGATATCGAACTTGAATACGGTCGCATATGGGCATATCGATGCACATTGTTTTGGTATCGAGACGCGTAATGCAAAGGAAGAAAAAGGACTTATTGGGGAAGAATTTGGTAAAAAAACCCTACAATGAGTAATTCATTCTTACGAAATTAACTACCTACATTATGAAAATATCATGCTCCATTCATGCTTGAAAAGATGCACAAGTTAGAAAAAGTCAGGCAATTTCATCATCGACCAATTTGATTTCATGAAAGATGCTCCCCAGATAGATGCTCCGGCGACAGTTACTCTCCATGCCCACAACTAGGCACATCCACACCCTCACTCACACCCAGCCACATTCAGATCGCCACTCACACTCACACCAACAACTTCTCCCCCATCCACGTCGCCACCAATACCGATACTGACACCAACATTTTCAACCATCCAGGTAGCAAATGTCGCTGGGAGCAACTGTCGTGGGAGTATGTCTGGGGAACAACATTCGTGTCACTCCCAAAACAGAATTTCAATCTGGTTTTTCCAAAAAAACAAAATTCGAACTAGTTGAAAGATTAACAATTTTCAAGGATGTTTGGAAACTAACTTTAATTTTACAAAAAAATCAATTTAAACCTTATAATAAGGGAAAAATCAACATTATTTTCTCGTATATCATTTAAACAATGACGACTATACAATCAATATTTAGTCACATATATGAGGCAGTCGCCGGTGTCGAGAATTCATTTTTCATCAACAG